TTCCCTATGCTTCTACTTTTATAAATCTCGACCAATTTATTTCTTTCTATTCCTATCGATGTGGGATTAATCTTCCTGTATATAAATAACAACCTCTCTTATCTTATCACTTCATACTTACTTCTGTTGGTCTGAGGTGAACTCTTAAACATTGCCTTAAATATAATTTTTGGCAACACACGCCGTTCTCCGGTCATCATCTAAGGCACCCTTTACCCGAAACATTGCTTTGATACAGGGGCTAAGAGCCTGAAGCTCAATATGCTAAGCCTGAACCTCTTCCCTATTCTACCACTCGGCCTCTCTTTCTTCATCCTCTCCTTCTCGTCGACACCCCAATTACCATTTTCTCGATCTCAAAACCTAGGGCACAAAATCCACATTCATTAATTGAGTTGATCACCTTTGGATCGAGTGAGAGATGGATGATTTTTTAGGCCTTTTGCAAGATCACTTTGGCTTCAAGCCTCAACGTAAATAGGCTCCCATTTCTGCTCCAAAATGCTCGAGCTCTAGTTGTAACATGGGTGATTCTATGAAATCACTGACAATTAGTCACGGAAATGGCAATGATTTTTTTGGTTCCTTGAATAACTGGAGTTGCCATGATCTGATGGGCTTAGGGGTCTTTGATAATGTTTTGGGGGCCCACCAATGTGCAGGTGGGAATTTTTTTAACTCAGAGAGAGAGAGAGAGATAATTGTTGTTGCTTTGTGGGTTGGAAAAATCTTTCAGTCCCACATCGAAAGATTTAGAGAGGTAAATGTGGGGGTTCACTATAAAATGAAGGGTAGGTTTCAAAAGGGGTAAGAAACTTCGGGTCCAGGGAAGGGTATGGGCGGGTCCACTAGTACCAGGACCTATACCCGAGAGTCCATTAAGAAGGACCTGGACCCTATCCACGGGTCCAAGATTTGGACCCATACTCGGACTTGTGTCGGGTATACCCGGCAAGTTCAGGGTCGGGTCCAGGTCCATTGCCAGCCCTATGTATAACAAATCTTCTCTCTTTGGCTTCCAAATGATCTAGATATTCCCGTTGAGTGATGCCATCCTACTCCCGGCATTGGAATCCATCCTTAATCTACACAAACTGTCTTTCCACACCCCTTTCTTCTATTCACTGACGATCACCATCTATCAAGCTACTAATGTCGACCAAGTATTCGTTGTTGGTCAAGTATCTGTCGACAGTCAAGGATCCACCGTCGGTCAAGTATCCGTCATCTGTCAAGCATCCATCGTCATTCAAGTATATGTCAGTGGTCAAGAATTCACCGGCTGTCAATTTATCGGTGGTTAAATATCCGTCGACGGTCAAGTATACGTCGGCGATCAAGTACTCACTCACTGTTAGGGTGTCAATGTGAGTCACTGGCAGTCAAAGTGATTCACTGTTGGTCAAGGTTGTGACCAACGGTCCATCGGTCAATCGGTCAAGACCTTCTTTGCACAGTAACCACTCACCAATAGTCTCTACTGACAATGTGTCCCAAAACATTCTATTCGAAGGTCAAATATGAGCCCATCCTGCAAGGAGGTTTTCTTCCTTGCTCGTCCTACAACCGTTTCGTTATACCCTCAAACGATGATAGGGATGACCAAGCAGTGTGTCAGAGTCAAGGGAAACGTACTCAGATATCACTTTTTGGGCTTACTCAGTCAAGCCTATCGCACGAATATAGATGCGCAATAGAGCCCAGATTTATGGAACACAAAATATACCAAAATGTTGTCTGTGTGTATGAGTAGGAAAATATACAGTAAAGTAAATAAAATAAAATATCTTATTGGCATTGAGATTTGTGTGGTTCACCTTTTCAGGCTACGTCCACACAGGAGAAATAGATAAATCCATTATTAAAATAATAGTTACAATATTCTTCCAAAAAACAAGCTTTATTGAGAAATATGATTTATTAAGGTTTTCTGAAGAGTTTTTTCTTTCTAGATTTTTTCTTTTTGAGGTTTTTTTTCGTTTGAGAGGTTTTTTTTTTCTAAAGGCTTTCTCTCTTAAAAAGAAAATGTTCTCTTTCTCTCTTTAAAAGACTTTTCTCTTCTTCTTCTCTCTTCAAAAAGGGTAACTTTCTATCTCTTCTTCATCTCTCAGAGAAAGCTCTCTCTATTGTTCTAATACACCAAAAGAGTTACGCGGAAAGAAGAGGTAGAAAATGGCGAGAGGGAACAACAAACACTACACATGTTTTCCCTTTTTATCTCACAAAGTTTTATCGTATGAGAAGATATCCCTATTGTCTCCTACTAAAAAAGATAATGATAGTCTCTTTTGTAACAATCAACTCACATGAATAGTTATCCACTTATAACAACTCAATAGATTGTTGTCACTTAATACCCATTCAATGAGATATTATCACGAGTTTCCGTCCTTCATGGGAGGGGACACGTCACAGAGACATCCATCCTTCCATTTCCACAAATTATCTCCTCTAATGTTTTGCTCACGTTGGTGTAGTATGTGTCCCTTTAATAAATCTTGCTCGTTGAGACGTTTGTCTCTTGAAGACTTGAGACCAAGTGCCAACAACTTTAAAGAAGGAAGTTCAAGAGGGTGAGACATGGATCTCATGGGGTACCGAGAGAGAGGATGAGACGGGACGGGCTTGGCAATTCAGCGTTTAAAACACGATTTTTTAAAAAATACGGAGGTTTTTTCAAAAACGTTTAAAACAATAATTTTTTGAAAAGATTGACAAAAATACGTATTTATTTTACATAAACATTTAAAACATGTCTTATTAATCTTTATGAAAAAATCGATCCAAAAAGACTTTTCCTTTTTTACATGTATTTTTTTTCTAGAAGATGAAAACTTTTTTCCAGTTTTATGTAATTGTTATTTCCATGCTTTCCAAAAACTCTATTATTTTTAAAAATAAAAAAAAACTTCACAAAAAAATAAATTTTTATCCCCATGTATATTGTGAGGGTTTTTTATGTTAGGGTTTATGCTCAAATCCATTGAATCAAATTAGAATAAAATACCATAAAAATCAGTGAATAAAAAATCCTCAAATTTTGGATAGGCAAAATTCCACCAAAAAATCCATCCAAATTAGGGCTCAAAGAACCCGCTTATCATAATGTGTACAACATCTTAAATCCCTAAAACAAAAGTTAAAAGAAAAAAAAGAAAAAAAAAACCAGATTAGGACTCAATCCCCTAACCTAATTCATGACCTAGTTTATGTCCGCCGAGTTCTTCATCTTCTATGAGATTTTATGTCTATCTTATTTCTATGTGCCTATGCATGCTCTCTCTCTCTTACTTTTTTGTTTCTTTATGGAAGATTTTATGTTTGGTTCTCTGTCACTCTACGTAATGCTCGTTTTCTTGTTCTATGTTTTGTGTTTGATTCTCTGTCACTCTGCATAATGCTCGTCTTCTTGTTCTATGTTTCGTCTTGGTCTACTATATTTGTTGCCCATCTAACAAAAAAGGTGTACATCTTCCCATTGCTTAACTATGGACAGTCACCATACGGAGAGAGAGAGCGAGAAATGAATATACCCAACTCTATTATACTTATCTCACATTGCCCCTCTTTTTTTGTTGTTGTTAAGTATTAAGTATGCGTGATTTTTGTTAAAGCATTTAATGAGAAAAATTAATATCGTATATTTATCAGCAACTTATCATTTTATTTTTTATTTCTACTTAATTTTATTTTAATTTTTACTTAATTTTATTTTAAACATGGATGTTTTTTTCACTCCGATTTTTTTAGCCTCGTCTGATATATTGGCGATATTTTTACATAAAGTATTTTTGCCGATCCGTATTTTTGACCCAATTTTTTTATTCGACTTTTTAAAATAAAAACGATGTATTTCTGATTTTATGCTGAGCCGATATATTGATTTTCCCCTACTTACTTACTATGATCCAGGCCGGCTTTGACCCCCTAAGGGCAGGCAACGGTCGCGGAGGGGCTTGGGCTTGGGCCTTGGCCATGGCAGCCTTGACCTCTAAGGGCTAGCCCAAGACTAAGCTGGTTTGAACTGAGGAGGCCCTAGCCGTAGCCCTATTAGTGTTGAGCTAATAAAATTAAAACTAAAAAAACAAAGGAAATGAGCAATAGGTCGTTCCTGCTTTGGTTTGGCCCGGTCCTCGGGCCATGGTAGCCCGTCCCAGGCTTATTTTTGTAGCCCAGCCCAAATTTTTTAGGGCCGGAGCACCCCGCCCTTGCCACCCCTAGTGGGACGAGGATCTCATGGAGGAGAGAGAGAGAGAGAGGTGGTTCTCATAATAGAGTAGCGTGCATATAGATTGGGTGGCTGACCAGTATAAAGACAGGCCACCCCACATGCATTCACCTCGACGACTTTCAGTAGTAAAATAAATGTGAGTATAGAAGAGGGTGGAGTTAATGAATGAAGATTTAAGGGCACATATCACAAGACACTCTCACTCCTGCATTCTCAATTCCTGCCCACCCTAGCTGGATCACATTGTTGCGGCAACCGAAAATCCTTTTGCCCCATTAAACAAACTAAATGCCCCATTCAAAGTAATAGCAATAAAGCCTCCCTCTTTCTCTCTCTCTAAAATTCCATTATCTCATCTTTCAAATATATCTCTTATAAAAATAAAAAATAAAACAATTTTTGCTATACAAAAAGAAAAAAAAAGAAAAATCTCGTGTCCGGGTCGCTCTGTCTCTACTTATACAGGGAAAATAGAGAAGAGAGGAGTGTGAGATGAGCGAAGCGTTGAGATGGGAAGAGGGTGGCAGTGGGTTAAGACTCTCTTCTTTTTCTGTCTCCTCCTTTCTTCTACATTTGATCTTTGCGAAGCAAGGTCACGCGGGAACAGTAGACATCAGAGGAGCAGTCACTCTTCTTCCTGTGATCCAGTCTTCAGATTTCTGTTTGGCAGTTGTGGACGGTGGCCTTTCCCTCGCTTCCCTTCTAACCCCTTCGGGCCTTCTCGCTCTCCCTGCCCCCACCACCACCACCACCACCACCACCGCCACCATCACACACCACCATCACCACACCGTCCACCACCCCATAACCCAACACCAACACCCATTCTTCCTCCACCACCCATCATTTTGCCACCTCTCGCTCCATCCCCTGCTCCACCCATCAAAACTTCCCCCCCTCCGCCACTTGTTGCTTCGCCGCCCCCATCACAACCATCATCGACCGCCACGTCGCCGCCCCCACCGCCGCTTGTCGCATCGCCACCTCCCCCGCTCATCCTACCGTCGCCGCCTCCAGTCGTCCCTTCACCACCACCGCCGATCACACCTTCGCCGCCGCCACCACTGCCAGCCGTCCCTTCACCACCGCCAATCACACCTTCGTCGCCGCCGCCACGACCAGTCATCTCTTCACCACCACCACCAGTTTTTCCGTCACCGCCGCCACCACTGCCAGCCGTCCCTTCACCACCGCCAATCACACCTTCGTCGCCGCCGCCACGACCAGTCATCTCTTCACCACCACCACCAGTTTTTCCGTCACCGCCGCCACCAGTGGTGTCTTCTCCTCCGCCACTGGTCTCTCCTTCTCCACCACCACCCACTGTTGTACCACCATCCCCACCACCTCCTGTTGTGCCACCATCACCACCACCTCCAGCTGTGGTCCAATCTCCACCACCCCTTGTATTCTCTCCACCCCCTCCTGTTGTGCCACCATCACCACCGCCTCCAGCTGTGGTCCCCTCTCCACCACCCCTTGTATTCTCTCCACCACCTCCTGTTGTGCCACCATCACCACCGCCTCCAGCTGTGGTCCCTTCTCCACCATCCCTTGTATTCTCTCCACCACCACCTCTTGTTCCCTCTCCCCCACTACCTCTTGTTCCCTCTCCCCCACCACCGGTTCTCTCTCCTCCCCCAACTCCATTATCACCCCCGATTCTGTCTCCTCCACCAATTCCACAATCACCGCCAGTTCTCTCTCCTCCACCAATTCCACCTTTCTCTCCTCCAATAATTCCTGTTCTATCACCACCGCCATATCCTATTCTCTCTCCTCCAATTCCCGCTCTCTCGCCTCCAGTAATTCCCATTCTCTCCCCACCACCATTTCCCATACTTCCGCCACCTGTGCCAGTTCTCTCTCCTCCACCAATTCCCATACCTCCGCCACCTGTGCCTGTTCTCTCTCCTCCACCAATTCCCATACTTCCACCACCTGTGCCGGTTCTCTCTCCTCCACCACTTCCTATACTTCCACCACCACTGTCCCTCTCTCCTCCACCATTTCCTATACTTTCGCCGCCTGTACCACTTCTCTCTCCTCCACTTCCAATATTTCCACCGCCACTGCCAATTCTTTCTCCTCCACCAATGTCTGACCTACCACCCCCAGTACCTGTTTTCTCTCCTCCGCCACGGTCTGACCTACCACCCCCAGTGCCTCTTCTCTCTCCTCCCGTGCTGCGTCTACCAGTGACTGTAATACCACCTCCACCAGCGGCGGTAATCCCTTAGCTCCCACAAGTTTCACATTGGTCCCCTCAAAAATAAGAGATGATCCCATTAAAGGCTGTAAATTTTGAGCAATTACGGCTAGGGGAGGCGGATCCCTCAACATAACGTCCTACCCTCCATTCCCACCATTAAAATATAAAAAAAATCATAAGCGAAAACCCTTACGTGATCGCCTTCTATGTATACGACTACTGTAACTGCTGGTTCACGTGCACACTGTATGTATTTTGGAGGGGAGAGCATGCTGCCCACGCAGTGTAATGTAGCATTTCATCATGTTTGTTCTTCTTTTTATTTCTTTTATTTTTTATTTTTTTTATTTTTTATTTTTTATTTTTCATGTGTTTTGTTTTTTCTCTTTGTTCTCTATTTCTATTTGTTCTCATTTTTGGTTTTTGGTTTAAGCGTACTTTTCTTTACGGGATTGTATACTATGAGAACATTTACCCTTGGTACGATGAGGTTGCAGTCACTTCATCCAATGTAAAATCTCATAGCTTGGGTATGTCACAAAATTCGAAAAAATTTCTTTTGAAGTTTGAGCCTGGTCAATGGAATAAATATATCCATCCGATTTTACATCCAATGGTCAAGAGTAATTGGACCACCTTATACTAATGGTAAATGGTCTTATTGTATACTTTTTTTTTTTAATTAATTAGATTTTATTTAGGTTCCTGATTCAGTGGAAAGAGAGAGAGTATTTCTTTTCCCATTTCAAGAAAAAGCATTTTGTATAATTTTTAGGAGTTCTGTACATTTTTGTTCTTCTTAATGTATTTTAATGTTGGAGATGTGATACCAGTATTAAACGTAATATTGAGCAGTCAAGCAACAATATACCCATAGGATGAGTGAAGCTCAGATGAGAATGTTGAGATGGATGAGTCCCAACATAATAAATGATATGAATCAAATTGAAAATTTTCAAGAGAACTTGGGGTTGGCTCCAATGAATTTCAATGTTGTATATGTTTGATTCTCATATTTTTATGCACATTTGTTTTAGAGAAAATTATGTTGGGATCATATTGGGGGTGGTCAATAACCATTTGGTGTCCCATACATCCAATATTACGAGCACCACCCCCCTCCCCGCGGTCTATTTTTTTTTATTTTCTTCGTATGTCTCCCCCATGTCCAGCAATGAAAAGACTGGACAAGGGGCTATTATTTCATAGTTCTTTGAAAGCGACGAATATTCCAAGTCTCCTCAGTTAGAGAGAGAAAGGAGGTAGAGAGAGAAACACAATAATGGCCATGGCTTCTACTTCAGTTATCCACTAAACTCCTTTCTTCCTTGCTTTAGATCCCAAACAATTTGGGTCCAAGCTTTGCCTTAACCAGCTACAATGCTTCCTGTTAGTCCCAATAAAAAAAATTTAATAAACAACTTACTCAAATCTATCATTAAATCACACGAGGGACTTGAAGTTCCATACCAAAATCCTATAGACCAAGTCATCAGGTGACAGACAACCTTGATAGTCATATTTAATGAATTTATTCACCTTTCATCTCTTTTTTCTTATTATTTTCTAGAGGGGTTAACCTCCTTTTATTGAGAACGTATTTATTTTGTAACTCTCACATTCATGGTCTATAAGAGTTGAGATTCAAATGTAACTTCTGTCTTAATTCCCTTAAATGCAGCTAATTAGGATTAACACAGTTGTCATCAAACTGTTAATTTTATGTAATGAGCTAAACCTGTCATTAATCCAGTAATGATTAACATAATAGGATGTCATTTAAGTATTCCCACAATTTGATAAAAGAAATTTTGAAATTTTATAAACTTTGTATATCTATAGTATAAAAATAAATTATTGCAAGAAATCTAAACACATCATTAGGTTTTTTCTCCAGTTATACTAGGTTTTCTCTCCAGTGTAACATCCTATTAAAGCTAAAAAATGAACCTAAGTATATGGTATTGTCTCATGTTAACCACATGAGAATTCACATATACTTCAATATGACTTTTGTACCATTATTGAAAAAATAAATTTCCGATAGAAAAGGGCCTGATAGGCCACATTTCCAACACTTCCCGCCAAGCTTTGGGTTTTCATGGTGGTATCCAAAACTTGGTATTTTTCCCTCTCATATAGTTAAGCCCTCCAAAACTAGGGTTTTTCTCTTTGATCGTGTTGCAGCTTCTGCTTCCTAAGCCACCTCGCCTAACAAACATACAACCTTGAATTCTTTGAATTCCTCTCAAAACTCTCTTTGAGTCAACACATATTGTTTCATACAGCCTTGGAGCTGTGCTTTCTCTCTCTAAATTGTCGCAGTCTAGGTTTTGCCTCCAAGGTTATAGGACTTTGCTTGAACCCCACACAGGAAAAAGCGGCTTCTCTTCGAATGCTTTGGGATAACCTAGTTTGCACAGTTGGCCCTTGTTCTTCGCCGCTATGAAGGACATACCAGCTGGTTACTTGAACACGCCATTAACTATGGTTGCCTCTGGTATGGCTAAGTGGTTTGATATCTACATATGGTTAAGGTTTTACACGTTGGTTCCTTAACATTCCATGGGAACAGCAGATACCTTGGATGTGAGCTGCTTTCGCGGTTGCGTTCAATCCTGAAAAGGAAGTTATTAATGATGGACATAAGAGAATTCAATTGAGAAATTTGGGAATATTAAACTAAGAAAGGATAACCTCTTGTCCAGTGTTTTATTGTTGGATAGGAGTGTAATTTAGAAAAAACAAAAAAACCCACAAGAAAAGGGTGATGGTCGTAATATTTGACATATTGGACACTAAATAGTAGTAGACCACCGCCAATATAGTCCGTATATAGTTTTCTCTTCTTTTTAAGATCATGGCTAACAGTTAATCTTAACCGTTAATCTTAAGGTTAGTGTAAAATCGCATCCAATTTCTTGAGCTGTGGAAAGCATAGGACGTTTTGGCCCATCACTCCCGGTCCAAGTAGAGAACCATATTTGTGTTTAAAAATTCAACTCATGCCTTCATAAATCAAGAGGAATAAATAGGTCCGATATTTCACTAAAAAAAAAAGGGCACATTAGGCCACTCAAATGTTTTAATATTTTATCGAACCCTATGCATTATTCAAAGGGCAATGGTTTCATGCAACGGTTGTATCATAGTATAATGCAATCACATTTCTAAAAAACCATGTTTTTGGTATTTGTATGACCCCTAATTTTGCACATACATTCTCTTCATCCTCATAATCAATTTTATTGAAAAAAAAATTCAATTTACATCCTAGATATGGTTAAAATTAGTATCCTCCAACAGTGAATCTCGACCATCCATTTGGTGATTTTCAAGATCTAGGCCTTGACAAATTCAAAATCATTGTTTTATTTTTTTAGCATTGTTAATCTCATGATGTTAACACTAATATAAAAATTTTGGGAATAAAAATATACTTGTGAGGCCTATATCTAACATTCTCACTAAAATAGACGCCTTATATTAATTGGGCTAGAAAAACATATTATAGGGCGTTTTTTCTAAATTTTCTTTTTTTGTGATTGTTCTTTAGAATGAAAAGAGCATGCATCTAAAAAATTATGTCAAACAAATGTCTCTAACATGGTTTTTTAATGTGATTGCATTATATTATGATACAACCGTTGCATGAAATCATTGCCCTTATTTAAATTGAGTTTTTTTGGGGTGAAAGATGTTCGTATATTGAAACGAAGTAGATATACAAAAAGTTGCATCCAATAAGAAGTTAGACTCCATAACAATTGCAAAAACTTTGTGGAAAAATTAGGCCCAGACCGGATTTTTTTTAAGGGCCCATTTGGATAAAAAGAAATTAGGAATCTTAGATATTTGAAATCTAAGGAAGTCTATGGATTTTCAATATCAAGTATTTTTCCTTAAATCTCTTATTTGGATAAACTATACAAAATTCATGGATTTCTTACAATCACTTCCATGTCCATTGTTTGGTAACAAAACTTTATATAATTTCTCTCTCTAAAATTTTTATATATACTTTCTCTCTGTAAAACTAAAAATTTGGGATAGTGTTTTAGACACTCTATTTTTTAAAAACCAGCAAATTTCATGATTTTTTTAACTTTAGAAAACCCATAAGACCACACTATTTGAGTAGACCCTCAAACCATAGACCACCGTAATCCATGGTCCCCATCCTAGCAAATCTTGTAGTGTTTAGAAGTTACCCATTTTACATCTAGCAAATCCCCAGATTTTAGTAATTATGCATTTTCAAATCCCATAGTTTTTAGTAGTTATTCATTCCACACCTATGGTTTTAGTAGCTATCAATTCTACACCTAGCAAATCCTATAGTTTATATTCTACACCCTTGTTAGGTCTTTAAGAGAAAAAAATAACGTGCTTAAGGGAAGGTGGGATGTGTAGGCCAAGGGAGAGAGAGCTGAGATGTGGGAGGCTAGAAGTTAGAAAGAGAGAGAGCTCAAAAAAAGAAAAACCTAAACTTTGGGAGGCTAGAAGTTAGAGAGAGAGAGCCCAGAAAAAAAAAAACCTAGACTTAGAAAACCCTAGTTTTAAGCCACCCTTAGATCAAGAAAGCCATTCAACTAAACCAAAACTTGGTCAAAACTTGAAGAGAGAGACAAAGAGGACGCACGACATAAACTCAGCCGGTCCTGATACGGGCGAGGCCTCGAAGCCTTGGGAGTCCCGGGCCAACTGGCCCGCTCTGGTATTTTTTTACCTTTCTGTATTTTTTATTTTTATTAGATTAAATCCGTTTTATTTCATTGTATTTCCTATTTCGTATTTCAGATCGATGATGGCTCTGCCGCTGATCTGAGAGCAGATCTGCTCATAAATGAGCAGATCTGGCCTCAAATCAGAATTTGATTTTCCCCACTCTTTATCACTATTTTAAAAAAATCAGTTTGTGGTGTTCAGATAAGAGAGATCTTCCTTTGAAGATCTTTCCGATTTGCACTGTAAACAGTTTGGCCCCCACCATGGGGCATTTTGAGCTAGATCCGTATAAAAAAAAAAAGCCCTAGATTTCTGTTTCAAGGGCATGTTTTTGAAAAATTAAAAGGGCCAAGAGACTAAAAAATATTTTTTCTCGGACTGTTTTAAATCTTTTTTCATTTAAAAAATCACTTTACTGAA